AGATTGAGCGAAAAACCTAGGACTAGTTCGCAAAAGCAGGTTTTTAACATATTTGTGAATATTTAATGAACCATTTGATTGACATTATTAGTCCCAGAGGTAAAGTTGTTCAGAATGAGGAGTTCTATCATACGATATGAAGATCTTGTGTTTTTGTGAATATATGAACATTATCTAGAATTTGAGGTCATTTTCTATACAAATATTGTATTTTGAGGCCTTTTCAACAGTTATAGCGCCAACTATCCTACGATCTCCATGAAACTTCGCATGCTTCTTAAGTGTCTTCTGTCACATGTTTTCACCAAGTTTCGTAAAGTTTTGAGTTTTCATTTAGGTTTTATAGGTTTTTGGGTATGTGTGGCTATATATATATATAATTTGTGTGTGTAAGTGTTACGATATAACTAACAAGGTCATATTCAGAAGACAATGAAACCGAAACCAAATAGCGTTGAAACAGGAAGTGAACAGAAGAGAATGACAAAATAACGGTCCACTTAGCTCTGTTCCCAGTGTTCCCCTTGCTTAACCCCTTTGTATAAAGACATGAACACGCACTTGGGTTTTTAAAAACTCTTTATTTACCTTTGTTTGTCAGTGAGGTGGATAGATGGATTACATACACCTCTACACACACCTACAACTAGATCGTTGTGTTTCAGACTGGCCACCTGAACACTAAACCAGTGGACATTTAAACTTTTCTTATAAACTGTTGAATATCACCTGGATCAGCATACATGGTGGCGGCCATATTGAACTGATTTACTTAACAGTGCAAGGGCGGACTTTCTTGTTGCATGTGGCTACCTTGAACCAGTTACCTAATGAGGTAATACTGAGGCAAGATCTCCCCATTCTCTGTGATTTGGAGTCCCAAGTTCAGTCCCGTTATGCAATAACCTGGGCCCAGAGTGCTAGAGCAGTCTTCAATGAGTTGCCATTTGCTAATGTTGACACTGAGGGGGGCTGTGAGAAAAGACAAATTTAAAAAGGAAAGGCGTAAGCTTAAGTTTGAGGGTAGTGTGGAGAGTAGGCAGGTTGAGGAGCTGCCTTTGCCAGAAGGGCCACTTAATATGACTATCCCTGAGGACATAGCTGAACTGCAGAAAAAATATCCTACTTTGCAGGACTGGTTCCAGAACGTGTCTGAAGTAGATGGGGTTAGATGGGGTTGTCTCTTGTTTAATGGAGGAAAAAGTACATCCTGAAGAAAGGTATACACTTTCAGGTGAAAGGTAGTTGGTAGTGGCATTGGTAGTTCCGGAATCAATGCGCCATACCGTTATGATTCTGGGACATTCTGTTCCATTGGCTGGACACTTTGGCAAGCATAAGACATTAGCCAGGATTGCAAGTTGGTTTAGTTGGCCTAAGATATATACGGATGTAACAGAGTTTATTCGTACCTGTACAGACTGTCAGATGACATCTGGAAGGAGAGTTGCACCCGCACATTTGTTACCATTGCCAGTCACTGACACACCCTTCAGCCGCCTGGGAATGGATGTAGTGGGGCCCTTGGGAAAAAAAGTAAGAATGGGAACAGGTACATTTTAGTAATCTGTGATTATGCCACCAAGTACCCAGAAGCCTTTCTCCTTAGAAACATCAAAGCTGCAAAAGTAGCCAACTGCCTTGTACAGCTGTTTTCCAGGGTGGGACTTCCCCGTGAAATTTTAACAGATCAGGGTACTAACGCCATATCCTTGCAGTTAAAACAGGTGTACCAACTTTTGGGGATTAGGGCTATTAAGACCACACCTTACCACCCCCAGAATGATGGTTTGGTCGGACGCTTCAACCAAACCCCAAAAAGCAAGCTGCACAAGTTTGTTTCCAAGTCAGGGTCCAACTGGAAACAATGATTACCTTATCTGTTGTTTGCTTACAGAGAGGTGCTGTGGGCTTCCACAGGTTTCTCCCCATTTGAACTGTTATATGGCCGGCAGGTGAGAGGTCCTTTGGACCTGCTTTAGAAACAGTGGGAAGAACCCAAGGATGGTACTTGCAGTGTGGTCCAATACACGATCCAAATGAGAGAGCATCTGGAAGAGATGACATTATTGGCCCAGGAGAACATCAAAAAAGCCCAGCAAACTCAGAACATTTGGCATGATAAGAGGGCAAGGGAGAGATCATTTGAGCCAGGCCAAAAGGTGCTGCTATTGCTGCCTACCAGTGAGAATAATTTGCTAGCTAATGGCGCTTTTCCACTGCATGGTACGGCACGGTACGGTTCACTTTTAGGGGGTTTTCCACTGGGTACAGTACCTGGTACTTTTTTTAGTACCACCTCGGTTGGGGTTCCAAGTGAACCGTACCATTACCAAAACGTGACGTGTAAACTCTGCTGATCACGGATTGGCCGGAGAGAATCGTCACTACCTGTGTCGCTGAACTTGCGACACAAACACAAAAGAACCGCTAGATTTAAATCAGCACAGCCAGCGAAGGATCGAAACAGCTGTTTTGAATGAGCGCACCTTTTTTTAACAACCAAAAAGTTTTTGTTGTCTGTTGTGGAAGAACAAACGTTTCTCTCGTAGATAGCAGAGGAGCGGATCCAGCGAGAGCTTGATGGGGCGACGCGGAATGAAAAAGTTTTTTTAGGAGTCGTGGTAGTAGAGGCGGCGCAACTATAACGACATGTGAATAATCCCGCCCACTCAAAAGCGGTACTGAACTGCAGTGGAAACGCAAACCGTGCCGAGCCGAACCATGCCGTGCCGTACCGAGCCGAGTCGTACCACGCAATGGAAAAGCGCCATTAGTGGCATGGACCCTAAGAGGTAGTGCGGAAAACTGGCAGTGTCACCTATGAGATCTCCATGCCAGAGCAGGGGAAGAAAAAGCAAATCTTCCATATTAATTTGTTGAAAGAGTTCCACCCCAGGGCTGAGTCGGAGGCTGTACGACTCTTTGTTCGTGTGGTCGAGGAGGAAGAGGAAACAACAGAGAAGCATTTTCAACCAGCTGCACCAAATAAGCAGTATCCCATCTAGAGCAACCCCAAAGAGAAGCAGCTGTTAGATCCCGAGCGGTTTCAGGAGAAACCTGGGCATACTAACCTGGTGACGTCATCCTTAGGAGGCAACTCCAGTCCGCCAGAAGAATTTTCGGATCCCTGAACGCCTGGTAACGGTGCTTAAAGATGAACTAAACATTAGGCTCTCCATGGGTGTTATTGCACCCTCCCTTAGAGAGTGGTGTAGCCCCATTGTCCTAGTCCCGAAAAAGGATGGCACCCTTATATTTTGCATTGACTTCATCTAACAGCTTTTCTAATGTAGACCCCTATCCGATGCCAAAAATTGACAAGTTGGTGGAAAGACTGGGCAGAACCAAATACCTATCCACTGTGGGCTTATGCAAGAGGTACTGACAGGTTTTTTTTAATTGCCAGAGCCAAAGAACTGACAGCTTTCAAACCCCCTTTTGGGCTATACCATTTCTGGGTTATGCTGTTTGGCCTGCAGGGGGTGCCAGCGACTTTCCAACATTTAATGGATCAGATCCTGCAAAGCACCAGGGAGTTTGCTCCAGCCTATCTGGACGATGTGGTCAGTGAGACCTGGGAAGACCATTGACAACGTCTGAGGCAAGTCCTAGGGAGAATTAAGGCAGCAGGTCTTACCATCAACTGAAGAAGTGTACAATAGACAAGAGCGATATCAGCTACTTGGGATTTGTGATTGGAGGAGGAGTCATTTGCCCACAGCTGGAGAAAATAGATGCCATCCGAAGTTACCGTCCTCCTACCACTAAGAAACAGGTGAGATATTTCCTGGTCTTGTTGGGATGGCAGATTTATATCTAACTTTTCTGCCAGGGCCTCTGTGCTTACAGATCTTACTAGAGCCACAGTTCCCAACAAGGTGGTCTGGATGGAGCAATGTGAACGAGCTTTCCAGGACTTACGAGAGGCAGTGTTTGGAGACTCTGTTCTGCTGAGCCCGGATTTCCAGAAACTGATAATCCTGCAGACGGATGCTTTTGGAGTTGGGTTGGGGGCGGTGTTAATGCAGAAATTGGATGGAGACCGCAAACCAGTGGCATTCTTGAGCTGGAAACTGTTCCCTCGAGAAACACTACGCTTACGTCATCCGCTTGAACACCACTCTCTAGTGAACAAGTGTATGACAGTTAGCTGAAGTTAGAAATTACAGTTTATAAAGTTTTAAACAAATATATCCCCCCCCCCATCCCATTTTTCGCAGTTCCTTTCATTAGAGTTCCAAAAAATGTTTTATTAATTTAAAATCTCATGAAGAAACAAGCCATAACCACGTGACCATTACCAGTCGATGTGCAGCAACAAAATCATTCATGAACATCTGAAATCTTCCAGAGAGTAATAATAACAAAACACATATATTTCATAATTTAAAAATTATATTAGTGTTTTTAAGGTGAAAATATGATGAACCGTGATAAAGAATCGTCCACAGCTGAGATGTGTTGATGTGTTTCTGCCTCCAGGGTGAGCTGACGAAGCAGGAGGGAGATGTAGAGCAGCCTACAGACGCTGGACAGTAGGTTAGAGAGCAGATGATGAGCTTTTCTTGAGATGGGATTTTCTATTATGCAAATATTTACAGCAAAATAGCAAAACCTTTAAACAATCTCTTGTAATAATATAGTATATTCTCTGAAAGTAATTCACAATTTTGCTTCTCAATTACATTTATACAGATTAAGCACTAGTAAGAGATAAAGAACTATTCGTTTTAATGTAAGTGAATGTAGAAAAACTTTCTTTGCAGACATTTAAAAAGCTGTGTGTTCTTTATTTAGCATCTTTTTTATGTATTAATTTATTTACTTTGTGTCTGACTCAGTACATGTGATAATGTTATTACTGAAAATGCACATATGCACAGTTTTTTAAAAATAAAATCATTTAGTGCCTTTCTTCAAACACTGAACAAAATCCAATAATTATTTAATTATCTTTGAATGAACTTATTCAGGGCAGTCATTTGACAATAAGATCTCAGTGTCCTATGACATTCAGTAGTTCATGTAGTTTAGTCTTACCAGACAGATTTTATGTCTACAGTCCATTACAACACAGTACATGTGCTTCAAAACAGTGCACAAACAGGCTTTAAAACATACCTCAGTGTTTGATGTGTAGCAAGTTAGCCAGTTGTTTCTAAAATTATATTTTCCAAATTTTAAAGAATCATCTACACAGTATGTGCACTGAACCAACATAACCTTCCTTCTGTTTCATTTCAGGGAGATGTCACACTGAACGCCCCTGTGATGCTCTTCACAAAAAAAACAAAAAAAAAAACAAGACAAACTGTCTCTCTTGCTTTGTCCTCACAAACTACATCTACTTAACTCAATTTACCACTTTCCTTCATGCAAACTTATCCTATTCACAAGAAAAAAAATGCTCATGTAACAACACTATTATTTAGCTATGCAATATTCACATATACTGAGCAGTGCGTGTCATCAAATTTGTGCAAATATTACATGCTTGTGCTTGTGATTTGGACAATTTTTTATAGGCAAGGTCTGTCTTTCTTACCTGCCCTAAAACTAGTTTTCCTCCACCCAAAACAAAGAGGTCAGATGGATAGTGATTTTACACAATCAGTGTGAGAAAAGATTTAAAATATTCCAGTCCAAATACACTCTCAATGTAGTATCCGAGACGATATTTGAAACAAAGAGCAGAAAAAGTCAGAATCACAGATGATGATACAGCAATTGATGTCTGTAAAGCATGAAGATAGCTCGTTAAAACAGTTCCAGTATCTTAAAGTGTGGTTATAGAGTGATGGTGTTTTAGTAAAGCTCTTATATGTAGTTTGCTATAGCGGCCTTTTTTTTTTTTATAGCGGCCATTATAAACAATTCACAAAATCTGCAAATGATGTCAGAGCAGTTGCTAGGTTACATGATTTGTTTGTGGAAGCCATGCATGCTGCCTCACAACTTCACTTTAACTGATCATATTAATTTACCTGACTCGTTGTTTCCCTTGAAGTCTGAAAGCAAGTGATTATTTTTTTTGAATATTCCATCTGTAATAAATTCAGTTTTGTGAAAAATAAATCTATTCTCATTTTTTATCCTTGTTTTTTTTTTTAGAACAGAATGTTGTTAAGAAAGTTCACAGGTCTAGTTTGCACAATATTTGAAGCATAAAACAGCAACAAAAAAAACTAATTTAAGAACATTGAAAGCATCAAGCCTTGTGTGTGTGGGAACGCTAGTCTTGTGGGGAGGACGCGAAGGGGAGTCTGTTCCTGGCACACCCGCATATCGAATTTAATATGCATCTCAACAACAAACAAAAACTTTACCACATTATATAAAATCCCATATGGCCATTACAATACCAGCGAAAAGCACTATGCCTCTGGCAGAATGTCAACATTTATGAAGTTTCATGATCTGCATGTATAATCCGAGTTCAAAATGAGAGTTATTTAGCTTTTTCCACATTCCAGTTATGGGAGAAGGCAGAGAAGTCTATCAGCCCATTATTTTCCTCTTGCTCAGAGGAAAGTAATTTACACCAAAACATAAACAACGCAACTGGGGTGTATTCCAGAAACACGGTTAACTTATCGTCAGCTAAACCCTGAACTTTCGGTTGATTAACCCCAAACCTTG